TTTTATGAGTAACTGTATGAATCAATGTATTAGACTTACAAATACAACAAAATTGTATTAGTTACCTCAATGTGGACTCTAAAATGACTACTAGAAGATCCTCCACGAAACCAATTCTGTGGTTTTGGTTTTAATGCCCTCTTCTTGCAAGCAGTGTCGATTATAGCAGGAAGTTTATAATATTCAAGGGACATTACTTCCAAGGCAATATACGCTAAATGATTAGCAACAACCGGATTCCATGGAGTGCCTCTCCAAACTGGATTACCATTCATCATGTCACTAAACCTACATTTTTCAACACCCTTGATTTTGCATTTGCATCCATGTGTAACCAAAATAACCCTCAAACCTAAGTTTTTGAGCCTTGTAATGGTAAAGTTGTAATCGTAGTCTCTTGTGAACACAATTATGGTTTTTCCTAGATTTGGTGTTTCACCATTGATATGTGCCTTAAAAAATTTCATTTGCCTACTCGTAGCCAACAGAATCAAATGCCTCGTATTGATATGACTATCAACCGCTTGCTTCGGAATGTCACTCTTTGTCCAAACACAATATGCTATACCTTTCTTATCATTAATTCTAAAGGCACGTCTGGATGTGTTTCCAAATATGTTACTGACCTGTTTTGGTTGTTTTCGAACAAAGCAGGTTCGAGGCTAACACGTTCACGGTGAGCAACAACAACATACAGATGAATGACATCATAGATCCCTAAAACCATTAGGGCATTTCTTAATCTTTCTAACACCATGTCAACACAGATGGTATGATGAATACCCATATTTTCAATATCCCAATCTGTTGGGATGCTATCTTCTTCATCATGACATTGCCATTGAGGAATCGTATCTTCTTCTTCGATGATTCTTCCAATGTCGATCATCTTTTTTGTTCTTCAATCTCTTCAATCTGTCCAAAATCTCGGAATCTTCATCTTCATCCTTCATTTTCTTCTCTGAATCTGGATCTTCTTCATTTTTCACTCTACCCAAAATCTCCAAATCTGCATTTTCTTTATCCATTCTCTCCAAAATCTGGGAATCTCCATCTTCATCCTTCATCCCCAAATCTCCATCTTCTTTATCCATTCTCTCCAAAATCTCCCTTTGATGATCCGATTAAGGGTTTTTCACACTGTCCCAATGCCGACTAAGGGTTTTTCACACACTCTAAAACATAATGAAATTTGTTACATTGGGCTTAAAATTGTTTGGAGGAATGAAATTTGTTACATTGGGCTTACATTTTCAAAAGCCATAGCAATTTGAAAATATATGTGATAGATATAACTAACCATATTTAAACTGAAAAATATATGCAGATTTGGGGATTTTGGGCAGAGTGAAAAATAAA